TACATATGTTGGGTCTTGAGGCTCTGAAAGCTGCACTTCAGTGCCACGCAGGGGCTGAGCCATCCGTAGGGGGTTGCAGGGGAGGTTTCGGGGCTAGGGTGGAGGGTTTAGGGTTTAGGGTTTAGGGTTTAGGGTTTAGGGCTAGATTTCGCTGCTGCTCCTCCTTCCCTGCGGCCCCATCGTGGCCGAGCTGCCTTGGCCCTCCAGCGGTGGCGACGCGTTCAGCTGCGTTGCGGTATCCTGCAAGGTCGAGAGTGAAGCTGGCCGGGGGGCTTCCTGAAAGTCCCTGGACTTCGGGTTTCGGGTTTCGGGTTTAGGGTTTAGGGTTTAGGGTGAAGGGTTTAGGGTTTAGGGTTTAGGGTTTTCGTGCTTACGGTGTGGGGCTTACTGGCTTAGTAAAATTCGGGGGGCCTACTCAGGTAGAGCGGTCTTTCGTGACTGTCTTCGACTCTTATAGGGCTGCTAGATACAGAGAACATCGACTACAACAAAAGGGAAGCATGTTTTGTCCATGCTTGGTAGCTGCTTTTATCTTATTCTCAGGCTCTGTTAGGGCTCTATTCTCAAAGCCTGAAACCCTAAACCCTAAACCCTAAACCCTAAACCCTAAACCCTAAACCCTAAACCCTAAACCCTAAACCCTAAACCCTAAACCCTAAACCCTAAACCCTGAAGCACATGCAAACGCCTACAGAGCTTTCCGGCTTTGTTAGGGGTGTCTAGGCTCTCTAAGTCTTACGGTCTTCGGAGGCCGGTTCTTGGCGTTCAGGGCTTTAGGGCCTAAGGTTTTAGGGGCTATTTAGGAGCTCAGGGTTAACGCGTATACACCGTTTTTACAGGGTTCTTAAGGGAGGGGGGTAGGTAGGGAACCTTAGGGAACCTTAAGGAACCTTAGGGAACCTGAGGGAACCTTAGGGAACCTGAGGGAACCTTAGGGAACCTTAGGAACCTTAGGGAACCTTAGGGAACCTTATAGGGAACCTTAGAGGGAACCTTAGGGAACCTTAGGGAACCTTAGAGGAAACCCTGTAAGGCACCCCACGTCCATGTGATCTAGGAAGTGCCCACAATTCATGGCGTTTGCTGCCATGCTCTGCAAGGAGGCCTCACCGGCCTAGGCTTTCCAGATGCTGCCGCAAGTGGAGTTAGGGTTTAGGGTTTAGGGTTTAGGGTTTAGGGTTTAGGGTTTAAGTTTTAGGGATTAGGGTTTAGGGTTTTTAAATTCGCCTAATCCCTAAAGTCTAAACACACCCCAGAGCCTTAAGCAGTGTAGCTGCAGATGAGGGTGGCTTATCCTAAGTTCGACACCCTGTCGGACCCTGTCCCTTAAGCCCCGAAGACCTTTGACATAGAGACTTTTAACCCCGAACCCCACACCCTAAGCCCTTTTCATGGCCTACGGCTGCCTAGACGAAGGATCCCACCCTAAAATCTCAAGAGCTGTGTGCTGAAAGCATCGCGCTGCGGCAGTGTGCTGGACCCACATATCACAGATCGCCTGTACAAGCTTGCATGTCCCCTGACGAAGAATGGCATCCCAAGGAACCTCAACGAAACTATCACGTCTACGCCCCACGGCTCTCAATCCTAAAGCCCCAAGGCCGGTTTAGGGTTACGGTAAGCCCCAGCCAAGACGCCAAAGAGACCATAAGACTCAACATCCCTAATGCATTCCCGAAAGCCCTGAAAGCGTTTGCGCGGGGAAATCACCCCTTTCCCCGGTTTAGGGTTTAGGGCTTCGGCAATGCATCCGGCGCCCAGGAGGGCTTATGCTCTCTTCGACGCACTCATGCCCCCAAAACCCTAATCCCTTCAGCTCTTACACCGAAAATGCCCTAGGCCCGAAGCCCTAGACCCTAGAGCCCAAACCCTAAATCCGCCCGAAAGCTGCCGCCAGAAAACGCCAGGGTGAGAAGCATGGCGGCCCGCAGTATGAAACGCATATCTCGCGGGAACCGTGCCTCCAGACAACTATCAGGTGTGGGCCAGTGGCTCCGACACACCCTCCCCTCCCTCAACCGAAAGTTGGCTTTCAGACCCCATAGGTGGTTGCGGTTCCGGGCCGAAAAAAACCCTAGACCCTAAACCCTAAACCTCTAAACCCCTAAACCCCTAAACCCTAAACCCTAAACCCTAAACCCTAAACCCTAAACCCCTAAATCCTAAACCCTAAACCCTAAACCCCCAAACCCTAAGCCCTGAAACCTAAATCCTAAAGGCGCTTCTTCTCCCAGATTCCTGGGTCGCCTCCTAAACCTAAGCCCTATAGGCCCGGGTGAGAGGCTAAAAAGCCTCCATGATGCCCAGCAGACCTCTGGTTCACGAGGGTTATAGGGTTTAGGGTTTAGGGTTTAGGGTTTAGGGTTAGGGGTTCAGGGTGTAGGGCTTTAGGGTTTAGGTGGTTTGGGTCAGTAAAGCCAGTACTTCGTAGTAGCAGTTGCAGTCGTTGGGGTGTGTTGCTGCCCTGGCTCTTGCACAACTTCAGGGGTCTGGCCATAAGAGGCCGGGCCAAGAGCTCCTGGGGCTTTGCGTCAAGGAGGAAACACGCCGGCTGCGGGACTCGCGAGCTGCAAACAAGAGCGCCAACTCTTCTTGGTGGTTCCCGAAATTTAGGGGTACCTTTTGTTTGGGTCCTTACAGAAAGGGAATCTTACTATTTGGGGATCTATTTTAGGGTTCCCCTTTTCCCCCTCTTCTTGAACCCTAAGGCTGTTGTCGTTGTTTGAGCCCAATCGCCTCAGACCCCTAAGCCTGAACCCTGAACAATCGGATGCTTAGGCTTGAAGAAGGAGTTGATGACAAAGGGGTTTGTGCCCTAGGGATTTAGGGTTCAGGGTTGAGGGACCCTACACCCTAAACCTAAGCCCTGAACCCTAAACCCTAAACCTGAGTTCAACTCCGAATCCTCAACTCCCAGCACGACTCTTCAGTCCCGGCCTCCCGAACAAACCCGCGAGCGTGCGCCGAGGGTGGAAAACACAGACACGCAGATGGCTCCTCCGCCCTGTTTGGGCTGTGAGTGTGCAGTTCAGGGTTTAGTCTACTTCTACAGGGGTTGAACTGCAGGGTCCGCGCTAAAGGTCGTGGAGGGTGCGGATTTTGAGGGTCTCAAAGACTGAGGCGGACCTGGCAAATCTTCTAGCTTAGGGAGTCCCGTTGTTTGAGCAGACAAATACGGGCACTAAACCCTGAACCCTGAACCCCGAACCCTAAACCCTAAACTCTAAACCCCAAACCCTAGACGCTAAACCCTAAACCCAATGTCTCAGAGGGCCTGGGTTACAAGTTTCTGTATGAGGGTTAGTAGCGATTTAGGGGTTAGGGTTCAGGGTTTAAGGTGTTGGCCCCTAGGGAATGCGGGAATAATCTCTTAAATGGTATGCGGTATATTAAGGGGGATCCAAGGTGCCTCATTCCCTCATTCCCTACGAAAAGCCAGCTGGTTTCGAGTGTAATTAGGGTTGATGGGGCAGAGATTTTGGGGTCGGTAGGGTCTCTAAGGAGTTTGACCCTTGGAGCTTACAGGATTCAGGGTACGACTAGTGACTCCCCAAAACCCTGGAACCCTAGGCCCCGAAGCCCGAAACCCTAAACCCTAAGCCTTAAACCTTAGGGTTTAGGGCTTAGGGCTTAGGGGTTTTGGGCCAAAAGCGCAAGCCACTTTGCCCACAGGAGGCTGAGGAGGAGATAGAGGACTTGTTGTTTTTTGATTTTCTAGGCTCTTGGGGTTCGGGGTTTTGGGTTTTATGGTTTAGGATTTAGGGTTTTAGGGTTTGGGGTTTGGACGGTTAGGAGGGGGGCTGCATGTTTCCGCGCCTTTGGGGGGGGGGGGGGGGGGGGGGGTCGGTGTAAGCAGGGTTTGTGGTTTTAGGGTTTTGGAGTTTTGAGGGGGATTTAGGGGTGTAGAGGTAGAGTGTAGGGATTTAAATGCTTTTGGGGCTCTACGGGTTGAGGTATTTCGGGTTTTTTGGGGTTTGTCGGTGTGGGTCTCCTCGGGTTGAGGGTTTAGGGTTTTGGGCTTGAGGTTTGTTGGGAATCTTGAGGACAGTTTATAGCTTTTGGGGAACCCATTGTGGGAGTTGAAGTGTTTATATGCCAGCCCTCAAGCCTACTTGTGCTACGAAACGAAACTGTGATATGTCCTGGTTTTCTTTGCTTTTTTGTTCACGTGTGCTGGAAGTTTCCTAGTGATTCTTCGAAAAGTTGACATCTATCCGGTGTTCAGAGTTACTCAGTTTATATATCTGTACTATAGAGGTCGAAATACTTTCTACTAGTGCTCCCCCAAGGTCCCCATAGAATTCTACTATAGTAAACCCCCCAAATCGCCCAGTTGCAGGTGCAAGCTTTCTAGGGTAGACTGAATGTGGAACCCTAAGCCCCTAAACCCCTGACCCCAAACTTCCGGAGCCGTTACTCTATGCCCCGAACCCTAAGCTTCTGGGCTACAACCCTAAACCCTAAACCCGAAACCCTAAACCCTAAACCCTAGACTCTAGACCCTAGACCCTAGACCCTAGACCCTAGACCCTGGACCCTGGACCCTGGACCCTGGAACCTGGACCCTGGACCCTAGACCCTAGACCCTAGACTCTAGACCCTAACTTAAACCCTAAACCCTGATTCCTGAACCTGAACGCTGAACCCTGATCCGCAACAGGGCTCCATCTTGCGGTTTTCTGTCTCCAGGACAGCCCAGATCAGCATCTGAACAGCGCGGAGGACATCCCCGTTCCGCGGTGGCCTGAGCATGGCTGATTCCGAAAAATCCCCAAGGCCAGTTCTGAGATTTTTGTTCCTTAGGGTGCCGAGAGAGTGGTCATGTACAGACCTGACCACGTGGGGGTTGTCCTGCTCCTGCAAGGATGTGCCGGTTCACGAATGCTGGAGACGGCACGGCGGTAGCTTGCTTTTGCATCAGGCCAGTTTTTGGGTCTGAGCAGGCAGGGAGGTATAGGGCAGTCAGGACGCGCTGCGACAAGTTCTTGCGAGTTGTAGCCATGGCCCTCGCAACGCAGACTGTCCAGATCCCACCAATCCTTGCACCTGCTAGCGTCCAGTTGCTCCGCCGCTGGCCGTCTCATTGTAGTTTCCCAGTCGGCTTGCTTGCTCGTGGCCTGACAAAGAGCGACGCATCAAACAAGACCGCTCGTCACGTTGGACCGCTGTTTTGGGGCACCGCCGTCGCCTCGGCAGTATGGTGGTTGAGTAGATCTGGTAAGAAGCAGATAGTCCACGTACCTCATCCAGACAAGGTGCACCCTCGCCCAGAAGATGCCGTTCCGGAGCTACCAGAAAGCTTGGACGACCCCGCAGTATTACCGCAAATTCTGTCCCAGGCTCTTGGCAATTCGTCCCCTTTCATTGCGCAGTTCGCTGGCCGGGCTGCTATAGTACCCTATGGCACACCAGCCGACGACAAGGTTGCTATAGTACCCCATGGCACGCCAGACACTCCTCCCTCCTTCAAACTGACGCTTGAAGACTTTCCTGCAGCCTGCCGGGGAACCTCGGTTACCAAAGTGCTCAGTGACAGCGCATGCAGGCATGCCTTTGAGGAAGACATTGCCAAGCATCTTGCAAAAGCTCATGGAGTTCACTCGAGTCGCATCAAAATCAACAGTATTGAGAAAGGCAGCGTGGTCGTGAACTACTCAATATTTGGTGCAGCAGCAGCTGAGATGCGTGGTTGGATCGATGGCTGTGAAAGGATTGCGAAGAGCCTCATGGAGACTTTGGAACATGTGGCGGTGAATCTTGTCGTGGTGCTGCCATCACTAGGCTTCGACATCCGCAACTTTGACTCGGCCGGGGACAAGAAAAATTTCGAGGGCCAGGACTTCAACACAGAAGGGGAGATCTACCATGAGCCAAAGCCCGGTAAAGGGTGGAAGCGGGTCGGTGTCTGTGTTCTGGGCAAATACGACAGCGATACGTGGCTGGCGCCTTTCGGCCATGAAGGAACGGGCATCAATCAGCGCAGTTCCGATCTACACAGGGGGATTCATTCCAAGCACTGGGGCTAAAGGCGATGCAAGTTATGGGGATGGTGTTTACGTTTCGCCGTACATCGACACTGCTGAGGGCTATGCTCGGCCTGCTTCTGTCAAGCTCCTTGGAGGCGACGCGAAAGTGCGAGTTGCGTGGCAAGCTGCCGTACGACCCGGCAGCTTCAAAAAGGCGACTGATGATCAATGGGTCGTGCCAGATCCGAGGGATGTGCGGATCTACGGTCTTCTGATCAGAAAGGCTTAGATGTACGGACCGGCACGTTCCAAGAGCGCCACGGGTCGCTGTCGCTCGGTGCAGTGCCACACAGTTTCCGCATAGCATATGAGCTCGTATGAATGCGCATCTTCCCGTGCTGGTTTATGGCTGGCATGCACATCGGGCTGCAATGTTTCCCTTCGTGAAATTATGCCTACGCTTGCTCAGTTTCTCATAGCATTAAGCTCTAAGCTACAGCCCAAAATCCTCTACACCCAATACCCGAAAGTCCAGACACAAGGCCCAATCCCGGCACAAGTCCGCAGGGATTGCTGGCTGCCTGTGCTCCTGTGGTTTAGTGTTTATAGGGCTTCCAGCTACAATGCAGTCCGCATCCCTAGCCAGCTGTTCTCCAGCTTGGGGCTTTAGGGCTTTGTGGGTTAGGGTTTCAGGTTTAAGGGATGAACAGGTTTAGGGCTTCGCGCTTTCGGGATGAAGAGGCTGCAGGGTTTAGGGTTTAGGGTTCCAAGGCCGCGAACTCCACATCCTGAAGCCCAAGCCTGAACGCCGAGTTTGTTCACAGTTCACAACGAGACTAAGAAGCCTTGCAGCCTGAGGCCTCAAGAGGAGATGGACGAAGAAGAACTCCAGCCGCTCGGGGGTCATTTTCTTCGGGGATGTCTTTGGGGGGCATCTTTTCGGGTGTGTGTGTGTGGGGTCTTGGGGATCATGCTCGCTCTTTTGGTGGGGAGGGGGGGGGGGATAATTTTGGAGGCCTTGCGGGGTTTCGGGGTTTCGGGCTTCAGGGTTCAGGGTTCAGGGTTCAGGGTTTAGGGTTTAGGGTTTAGGGTTGTTTGGCCGGTCTTGCCGGGGGTGCTGATGGCTTCTCGGTTCCCGGCATGTTGTGGACCTCTGGCCTTGGATTTAGGGTTTAGGGTTTAGGGTTTAGGGTTTACGGTTTAGGGTGTAGGGTTTAGGGTGTAGGGTTTAGGGTTTAGGGTTTCGGGTGTAGGGTTTAGGGTTTCGGGTGTAGGGTTTAGGGTCTTGAATGTAGGGTTTAGGGGCCCATGCCTAGGGAATTTTTCTTTGTTCTAAATGACCACCCTCACGCTGCATGGAAGCCGTCACAAGGTAGCCTACCTGGGAACTCCGGTCCCTGCACTGCAAATTTATTGGTTTGGAAAGACGTGGCTCTAAACCCTCAACCCTCAACCCTCAACCCTCAACTCTCAACCCTCAACCCTCAACCCTTAGCCCTCAACTGCGAATGAAGAGGGTTCGTCACATGTGATCCACCAGTCCTACGCGCAGCAGCCCAAACGCTCCAACCGCTTAAGTCCTAAACCCGAAGGGCATCAATCCAGCCTCCGAGCTACCCAAAGTCGGAGGATTTAGGAAATAGGGGTTTAGGGTTTAGGGTTTAGGGCTTAGGGTTTAGGCTTTAGGGTCACTGGGGCCCAGAGTAGGCTGTTCCGTTTTTTGGCATAGGTTCCCTTATCAGCCACTTTAAAACAAAAAGAGCATCCTTATTCCTGGCTTACAGTTGGGTCTAGATTATGCACCAAAGAAGCATGCGCCAGGTTGAAGAAAGATCTGCAGCGCTTCATCCTGCAGCACAAGGCATGTTCCCCCAAACGGCTCTAAAACCTTTAAACCCTAAACCCTAAACCCTAAACCGTTCTGGTACCCTAAACCCTGAAGTTCCTAAAAACACCCTTGGTGCCCCAAACCCTGAAGTTCCTACGCCCACCTAGGAACCAAAGCTCCTAAGCGTCAAGTCCCAAACCCTGACGAACTTCCAAGATCCTACATTCTAAAGCCTACACCCTTCAGGCACCTCGGGTGCCGTTCAAGTGGACGAGTGGTCCACTTCTGTTGCAGACTTCGAGGTTGCTGTAGCAGTCTATTGGGGAGGCTTAGGTTGGGGTTGAGGGTTTAGGGGTGTAAGAGAATTATGAGGGGCCAAAAGCGAGCGAAGTTTTTTCAGCTGGTTCCAAGAAGTGTTGGGGTTTTGACTTTCTTCCCTCAGCCCGGAACCCTAAACAGTAAAACCCAAATCCCCGGGGCGCGAGGGGTCCAGGGAGCTTGGGTGAGATTTTGGGGCTTAGGGCGTCGATGGGCGGAGGGAGTGTTGGGGTAGGGCGTTGAGGGAGGTTCTACAGAGGTTTAGAGGTTCTACGGTTAAGTTGTGTTAGGGTTGAGGCTTTAGGATTCAAGGCTTCCTGCTCTGCCAAGCAGCAGCGCCAGGCGGAGCAGGACAACATGTTCGATGAGACGGCCGACGAGGACATGGTTTGGGCTCCCCAAATTGGGCTGGGTATAGGTTCAGTGTTCCGGGCCTTCGTGTATACCGTCTTTCAATAGGGCTCTGGATTCTGTGACGTGGCCACATGGTGCCTTGAAGATTGACGGTGACTCGGAGAGTCATTGGACAGGGACAAGGTGCAGCAATTTTGGCCGGTGATACCTGTGATAGCTTAACCCTGCTTGGGGCACATGTTTATGAATCGCAACCAAGGGGGTGGAAGGGAGGGGGGTGTAAGGGCCCCGTATTCCCCAAATGAGGGCTGAATAATTCCAAATGTGCCTAACTAAATCAGGCCTAATAAGGGAACATAGGGCCCAATACGCCCCTCTCTTCCCCCCTTGGTTCCGTCTGAGTTTATATAGGTCTCTTAGTATCTTAGGGCTCGGGGCTTAATGTTGTGGGTTGAGTGTTTAGGGGTAGGGTTCAATGCTTAGGTTCGAAGTTGAAGTCCAATGTTTCTCTGGTGACTGGGGTTTAGAGTCTATGAGGGTCTGGGCTTCAGGGCGTGATTCAGCCGCCGGGTGAAGGGGAGTCAGAAGGGTCGCAGTGCTGCGTGACGCCCCAGAACATCCTGACGCCTTACCCCCCCCGCACCCAAATTTAAACCCTAAACCGTAAACCCTGATGCCCCCTAACCCCTAATGTTGACTTCGCATTAATAAACCCCCCCCCCCCTTCATTGATCAATCTCTCCGGCCAGGGCCTCCTCAATACTGTTCGCCTAAATCCTGGTAGGACGTACTATTAGTTTTAGTATTAGGTAGTAGCACCACGCCCGTAAAAAACGGATTTCCCGGGTCGGATTTTACAATTGTGGCGGGTTACAATATTGTGTTCCGGCAGCTGGATTTTACAATTGCGGCGGGAATCACTAATGTGAAGTCAACATTAGGCCTTAAACCTAAACCAGCTTGAACACCTTCAGCCACTTGGAGAGCAGGACGCCATCCGCAAGGCGGCCACGGGGCAGGCTAACGCCATCAGCCAGCCCGGTCCTGAGATTCCACCCTGAAAGTCCATCGTATACCCTATAAACCTTATACACCCTACACACCCTGAACTCCGTATACACCCTCACCCTCAACCTAAAACCCTTGTCACAACCCTAAACCCTAACCCCTAAACCCTAAAGCCATACACACCCTGTAAACCCTGTAAACCCGGTCATGAGCTTACGGCTTTCCCTTCCAGATCCTTTAGCGTGCATCGGACCGGAAGTGTCAAAAGCGTTTTTGGGGATTAAGGTTTATGGTCTGGGGTTCAGGGTTTGCGTTGGGCTTTAGGGTTTTAGGCTTCCCAGCTGATTTCTGGCTGCCCGTCAAGGACTGGCGCCTCTGCCGATGACTGGGACGACTCGGAGGGGTGCCTCTCAATCCCAAATCTTATCCGAAAACGCCCCTAAACACTAAACCCTAAACCCTAAGCCCTAAACCCTAAACCCCAAACCTCAAACCCCAACCCAAGACCCTAAACCTGAACCCTCTTGTCGCTCCCAAGCTCCAGTGGCCTTGGGATGCAGGATGGCCCAAGGTCAGGGGGGTTGGGGTATCGGGTTGCGGGTCGAGGTCTTGGGTTTCAGGCTTAGGGTTTTAAGCCTCAGGGTTCAGGGTTCAACTCAGGATTCTTGGATTCCAGGTTCCCCTGGTTTCGGACGCACTGATATCATGTGGAGCAACGAAGTGATGTTACCAGCGATCTGGTTGAAACGCTCCTCTATCTCTAGTCCTCTGCATGATTCGGAAGCAAAGTGTACCCCAGCACCAAGACCCTTGGAATTGAATCACATGCCCGCCCCGGTCAGGTACTACAAGGCCAAGATCGGAGAAGTCATGATGGAGCGGTATGAAGTCACCGAGGACTTGGGGCAGCTAGGGTTCCAGCACTCGAAGGCTGACTTCGCCTTCGATGTTTCGAAGCTTCTTTGTGTCGTGTTTAAGGCTCGAGTGGTATGGCGAAGAATGTGGCGCCAAACCCTAGTGAGCTTGACAGACCACACATGTGTGACCCCCCCCCCATTCCCCCAAAGCAGATTGGTTGAGCATGAAAGATAATACCCAGAAAACCTTGATGCTAACATCATCTACAAACCGTCGTATGCTCCCAAGACGTTCAAGCTTCCTGCGATTTGAAGACGTTTGAGAAGCACAGTTAGCTGAGACAACCCGGGGACTCTCGAAGCATCGCTTCACTTAAATCCCAAAGATTTTCGAGCTGCGGCCATTAGAGGTGGTCCTTGGCACGCACATCCTCGTCGACCTTCTCATGCCGTCGGGTCATTCCCCAAAGGCTACTGGCCTTGCCTGGCTATTGCTGCCTGTGGTCGCCGCCTGGGTTTGTTCCTCAAGGTCCGCCTTCACCACGAAAGTGTCCAGAACGCAACTCCAGCAGAAGCGGGAGGCAGAAGGTTTGCAGAGGCATTTGTCTACTGGGGTTGCTGAAGAGTCCCCCCTCTCAGGCCCGGAGAAAAAGGCTTGCGATGCGATTCGATCTGCCAGGGCCCACAGGGATTGGTATGCAGTGAAGCGGGCCTTCGACTCATCTGGGAAGCAAGCTGCTCCAGTCTTTAATGCAGCCATGGCAGCTGCCCTCCAACTTGGCCGATTCGAGAAGGGCTTGGGCATATATCGGGAGCTGGGGGATCTTGGCCTGCAAAAAACTTTGAGGAGCTACTGCTGTGCGATTCGCTTGCATGCACAGCTGCAGAAGAAGAAGGAGACGTTTGAGATTTGGGATGAGGCTCGTGCAAGCAAGTTGTGGAACCACGCGGAGAGTGCTTGCTCTGTCATGTGTGCAGCCCTACAGGCAGCCGCGCAATTTGGTGATCATGTCTTCGCCCGGCAGCTGCTTGTCATGATGCGCAAGAGAGGTAAAGTCCTGAATGTTGTAGACTGGAACCAAGCTTTGGACGCGTGTAAACATGCGCTGCATGCCACAGCCTCAAAGGAACTACTGTCAGAGATGCTCGAAACAGGCATGAAACCCGATGTAATCACCTTCGCTCTGGCTGTGGGGGCGCACAGCGGAGAGTCTCTGGATTCGATATACGACGTCGCCAGCGGAATGAATGCCTATGAGATAGAGCCGGATGTGGTGTTTTTGGAAGAACTGGTGTCAGCGATCCTCGATGCCCCACGTCATGAGGGTACCAAACGAATCACACATGTTGAGCAGTGTCAGGCCATCGCGGCAGAGGCACCTGGTCGTCACCTACTCGCTGCGCAGCGAGTTATTGACCATGCTGAGGGTGAGGGCTTTGAGCTAAGCAAGCTGTTGAGGCTGTGGAAAGCCGCCATGTTGAGGTTCGGCAAGGTGTGGAGTAGGCTCAGGCTTTGCCATGTGCCTTGGAGATGCCGAGAGCTCACCCGGACACCGTTACAAGCGAATGTTTACTCTGGAGGCTGAGGCTAGAATCCGAGGGCCAAGGGTGGTAGTAGTCCGATCAGACCAAGAACGGAGATTCCCCAAAGTCTGAACCCTGATCTCATGCTCCAGGTATAGCCTGCAGAGTTTAACCACAAAGGGAACGACTCTAACCCGAGTCCTCAGCGCAGGATTTCGTCGGAAAGGGTGTCTTTTCCAACGTCTGCAAAGCCAAGGACAAGGCAGAGCGGCACTTTGCAGGGTTGGGGGCTTTGGGGGTCATAAGCGATGATTGCTCTAGAGGGGGGGCACCTGTGGGCGCGCATCCTGACAAACAGTAAGCCTGCCTCTAATTACCGTACACAAATGCCCCCCAGCACTCCAAATGCAAGCCTCCGGTCCGAGCCTCAGACTTCAGGTTCTCGAAGCTACGAATATAGCCTGAGCATTGCCTTAGTTTGTAACCTCTGGGCCCGAATCCTGCTACAGGGGGCACGAATGCCACGCTGTCTGCTTTGGGGTTTAGTGTTTAGGGTTTGGGATTTATGGAGCGAGGGCTGAACAGTTTTTCTGGGCTTCTCGGTACAACTCTCAGGTGTTTCTAGTCAGCTGGCAGCTGCAAATGCAAACAAAGCGCGGCAGCTGCCCGTAAACCCTAGCCCCAAACCCTAGATCCTTGCCCTGAACCCTAAACCCTAGCCCTAAACCCTACACGCTAACCCCTAAACCCTAAGCCCTCGAGCATCCACCCCCCTCCGATGCAGTGCCACCAAGAACAGCACCTCTGGCGTCCCCAGGTATGGATGCAAGATTCAAGCCTCAACTCCCCTAACCCCCCGTCCTCCTTGGCCTCAGACGGATGGAAGTATGGTGGCCATCAAAGTCATGCGCTGCAACGACATGATGAAGAAGGCCTGCAACTCCATCATGATGCCACCCACCCTAAACCCTAAACCCTCAACCCCCCCGCCCCCCCCAAGGGAACTCCGATTCGGGGTCTCAGAGATGTTGTCCTAGCCAGCATTCCAGTGGCACACAGTGATGAAACATCGGGTTTAGGGTTTAGAGTTTGGGATTTAGGGATTGGGCTTCAGGATGATAAGAGCTCTTGCGTCTTAAACCCTAAACCCCTAAGCCGTACTCCTTAGTTCTGTACCCAACAATCCGCGGTAAAAAAAACACGGACACCTCAACTCTATACCCCCGAACCCCTGGCACCTCAACCCTGGCAACCCTTAAGCACCCCCAACATACATGCCCTACCATTACAGGCCGCGGAGAAGGAGGTGGAGATCCTGGAGCGCCTGAACAAGGCGGACAAGCAGAACAAGAGGCGGGAAGGGGCTGTTGTGGAGCAGGTTTAGGGTTTAGGGTTGAGCTGCCTGAAGGCTCTTGGGTAACTTCAAGGCAGGGTTGCCTGTACCCTGAATAAGATTGCAACCAGTCATATCTATATTTGCCCTACTGTCGCCCCAGTTGGGAATGCCCATTGAGTAGCATCAAATACCCATTCAGTACCCATCAAGCACCCATTAACTGCCTCCAAATAGAGTCAAGCAGGTTCCTTGTGTAGTTGAGGGTGAGGGTTTGGGGTTGGCGGTTTTGGGGTGCTTGGGGCTCTTTTGTGTGTTTGGAGGTCGAGGTTTTGAGGTTGTGTGTGTTTTTTGTGGCTTCGGGCTTGGGGATTTGGGGGTGTGTGTGGTTTGCTTTGGGGTTTGGTTCGCGCTTGGGGTTTCAGAGTCTGGGCATCATCAGACTATATAGCTGAGAGCGTTGTTGAGCGCGGCTTCTTGCAGCAGCCTAAATGCCTGCCATGTTCTGATTGAGGGCTCAAGAGTTCGCATCTGAAAGGCCACGGCAAACGGACAGCAGATGGCAATTAACTACACCTTGTACCCCAAGCCCTAGATCCCTAAATCCCTAAACCCTAGACCAGGGCCTCCGCACCAGATCTCAGCTTGATCTTCTCGGGGGGTAAAGACGAAAACTGCGGTTTAGGGTGGCTTCGTGTTCCGACCTTCGAGGTCGCACGGTCTAGCGTTTATGGTCTACAGGGTTTAGGGTGATACGGGATTGTAATGGGAACCTTGCATAAGAAACCCACCCTCTGCAGGCATGCCACCCTGGGCTTCTTAACTTCAACTTCTCCAGGTACCCAAACCTTCGGGAATGTTTTGGGCTCTGGGCTTCGGACTCAGGGAAGCCCGAAACCAGCGACGCCTTCAAGACTTTGATCCCTCAACGCCTCCATGGTGCCACCTCTTCGAGTGTTTTGAGCATCCCAATCCTACCGCATGGGAGATTTCGGGTTTAGAAATCCCGGCTTAGGAATCGTAAACCCTACACCCTACACCCCAAACCCTAGACCCTAAACCCTAAAACCTGAACCCTAAACCCTAAACCCTGAACCCTGAACCCTGAACCCTAAACGAATTGAAGCCGGCAGGCATGTGATCCGTCTCCACCGCCACTTCCTTTACCGTGGGCACCTTTGTCTGGTCTTCGAGCCCGGCGCTGAGGGCAGGGTTCAGGGTTGAGGTTTCAAGGTCCCTGAACCCTACACCCTAAACCGTAAACCCTAGACCCTAAACCCTATACTCGAAGGGAGTCTTAGCTTTCCAGCTTAGAAGCAGTCTCCAGTTCTTTTCCACCTTGTACAAGGCCACGGTTTAGGGCTTAGGGTTCACATGCTCCGCGCACCCCACCACACGGGACCTTGAACCCTATAAAACCTAAACCCTAAACCCTAGACCCTAAACCCTAAACCCTAAACTCTAAACCCTCGAACCTCCTGCAATATTAAGGTGCATGTGGGACAACCTACGTGTGGCGCTGAAGAAGCGGGGCGCCCCGGAACCGGCCCCGACCCAGAAGTTGAGCTCAGAAGGTTTGGGGGTTGGGGTTCTGAATCCCAAGCCCTGAACCCTAAACCCTAAGCCCTAAGCCCTAAACCCTAAACCCCAAACCCTAAACCCTAAAGTGTAGGGTTTGGGGGTTGGGTTTTGGGGGTTCTGGATAAGTTCTTCGGCTTGGGTTTCTGCTATGAGCATTTATTACGGGCTGTATGTATGGGTTTGTGAGGTTCGGACTTCTGGTTTGTAGGATTCTCTGGATTTGGTGGTTAAAGGCTTCGTTGCCTTGTGGCTGTGGCGAGTTTGGAGCTTAATGACGCTTTGGGGCTTAGGGGTGCACAGATTCCGGGAATCCACGATCGCATCCTAGATAATGATCTGGTCTGCTGTGGTAAGGGCAGTGCTGGGCCTGAGATCTACTTTCTATGCACTTAGGTTCATGGGTACTTATTATCCCAAGTGTCAGTGTACTTTTTCACCCAAATGGAGCCACTCTAGGGTACTTGGGGGGCTGAGAAGTGGGTTACACTTGCAGTCATAATGTTATACCTACCCCAAACCTCCACGAACCTCCAAGTAGGGTTGTAGACCCTAAGCCCTAAAACACCTGCCCTTCGAAGATTTGATCTGGGCCACAATGTTTAGAGAGGGATTTGCGAGGTTTAGGTTTTGGAGGTCCTGTAGGGCTTTTCGGGTATTCGGTTTGTAGCATTTTTTACTTTTCACAGGTATTCCTTAGACTATAAGAGGGCTAAACGGATTGAAGGAGTCTTCCTAAGGGCTCTTGGAGCTTCCCTGCAGCCATGGTGCCCCCCTCACAACCCCCCCCCCCCCTGGTGCCCAGGTATACCAAAGACAAGGGAATGTCACTTCAGGCGGTGCGGGCGTGCGCCGGGCCAGCACAACCGTCAACCAGAGATCCCAACGACTGAAAGCCCGAAAGCCCTGAGCGCCGTAAGCCCGTAAGCCCTTGTCTGGGCCAGCTGGAATCTAGGATTTTCCTCGGTTCAACAAGTGTACTGTGGGTGTTGGGCTGATATGGGTGTTGACGATATAAGGGTCACCTATCATTGGGGTCCTTGGTATAAGGCCCTACTATTTGGGGGACTATAGTAGTTGTCCTGTTCACTTTCACTTTCACTTTCCACGCAGCGAAGTCAACCTTCACTTGGCGAACCCGAAGGACAGGCGGAAAGGCCCGGCACAAGCTGTGCTTAGCACATCCTTCCAAAGAATGCAACAACACAGGATAGGAGGATCACTCCGGTGCGAGCACCCATGAGCAAGCGATCCCGAAAAACGTCATATGTGACGAGGTTTGTACACTGTAGCACATCACGCTGGGCACCTAATGTAAAATAGTACATAACAATCGGAGGGGATGTACAGTCTCTGAGCTTCATTCAAGGGCACTGCTTTCCTATGATCATCAGTTTGCCACTTTAACTGGCCAGACTCACAGAGCACAGCAGTGTAGTGACCAGCTTCCGGGGTTGCACCATGGTGTCTGATAAGCGAGCTCAGGCCAAACTTGCAGAAACGGCACGACGCGCCCACTGTAAACACAGGAACATGGAGGAGCTGATCGACTTCAACATTGATGTGTAACTTGCGTGTGCCCGATTCTGTCGTTGCAAAACGCCCGAGCTGCAGTATCACAAAATCAGGCTCATCAATGAAGGCGTGGGTTGCTGCCTGCTGGTGCCACGCATTGAGACATGCCTGAACTGACACCGAACTGGTAGCAGACGACGACGGCAACGAATCTGAGATCCGGGCAGGCTGAAGCGGTATCTCAAGGGCCAGGATCGCAACAGGACCTGAATCCAGGACTTTAGTGTGCCCCAGCTCAATCCTCCGAGCTGCCCAAGGGCACAGCAGACCACATAGGCTGGGGTATCGGCCAATGAGGTACTGCAAGAACTCAACCACGTCATGCTGAATGTGTGGTTGATGCCACCCCTGCATGGCTGCCAGCCAAAATGCGTTACGCCACAGAAAGACACAACCAGACTGCAATAGGAGACTGCCTGCACATGCCTCCAGCGTTCCGGCATTTAGCGCCTGCAATGTACCATGATGAGCACAATACCACAATAGACACGTGAGAAGGGCATTGCAATAACATGTGTTGCCTTCATTGCCAAAACATGCTTGGAGTACCATTGCTGGCTGGATTGATGTAGACGGTTGGCCAGCGCCGAGCGCTGCAGCCTGTCCTGTCTCATGTACGCTCCGACGGGGAGCCAGGCAGCTGTCTGAGCCAGGCGATTCAGGTGGGCCCATAGTTGATGTGCCTCTGTGGTTCGAAGCCCGATTTCCAGCATCATTGCCAGGGTCGGTGAGCGGTATTCGGCTGAAAGGGGGCGCGTGGCATGGTACCTGATGATCGCATTCTGGGCAGTGGCCAGATTCAGGATTTCCAAGAGCATTGACTGCGCCTCCGCAATGGGCACCTTTGGAACCAGCGGGTCCACCACATGCGACTTCTTCTCGTTGTCCCAGCGCATGCCGTTGAGGTGCGTCTTCTCTTCGTTCACCCAGCCAAGTTTCTGGGCCTGGTCCATTGACTCGCTGACCATCTTCTCGAGCCTGGCCGCAGCGGTGTTGATCAGGTGGCGAAAAAGGGTCACCCGCATCGGCGCCTGCAGCTTGCTTGGGTCTGCCTCCTTCTGCTGCTTCCACTGTTGAGCCATGTTGTACGTGGAGATGGCCAGACTGCCCGGCACATCTGTTCGCAAAAACAGGATGAATGCGGTGTCCTGTCTCGCAATGGCAGCTTGATCTTCGTGTCTCAAGATCAAGGTTGTGAGGAGGGCGACCATGCTCTCCAGGTAAGCTATGCGACCCGCGTTGCCCGAGCCACTGCTCTGGTACTCCTGCAGAGGACTGCCTTTCCATTCCCAGGACCTCCCTGAGCTGGAGTTGCCTTTGCCTTTGCCCTGCTTGCCGCCCTTGTTCTGAGGCTTGTGCCACTTGTTCTGGGGCTCGGCAATCTCTGGCGCAGGACGAACTCCTGTCAACGCTCCTTGGGCGGAAGTGTCGCCAAAGCCCCTTAGGGGAGCCGAGTTTGCTGGCAGGCCGGCCTGCACTGGCACCGGGAGCAGGCCCTCCATCAGAGCCAGTTCTGCATTCGCCTGCTCCAGCATGGCCCCGTCCTGCTGCTCCGGAGTCAGCTGCGGGAATGTCGTCGGCGGCGGGGACATGCTCAACCTTGGCACAAGTGCGAATGGCAAGCCGCCGCTTCAAGTACATGCCATTGAAAATGCCAATGCAAGACTTCAGGTGCTGGCCTCTGCGCTTGAAGGTGAGGCCACAGTACTGGCACGGACTGACCACGCTTAAATTGCTGCGTATCACACAGTCAATTGTTTGCTGAACAATCGGCATGAGGTCCGGGTGAGCAGCAGCCATATGTCGCCGAACATACTGCGGTTGACTGCACCAATGATTGCACTCCATGCAATGTTGACTCTTGGCCTGAACAAGCTCATGAAGCGCTATCTCCCTCCACGACGCATTACATGCCAGCTGCAGCACGGTGGGGTTTTCAATGAGCGCGTCACTCAGCACTGCAAGTTGTTCTTGCACGTCAGGGGCCTCGAGGAACTGCCGCAGTTCTGGGCAGCTTTGAGAGTTAATGTGGTACATAAAATTTGGCCAGCCATCAAATTTGTGGCCGCAGTGTCTGCACCACGGCAACCCCTGCTTGGCATGTTCAAATGCCTGCTTGGAGCTCTGCAACTGCACTTCCTGGCTTCGAGCTTGCTTCTGAGTGTCATCCATGTGGACTTTGAAGACGTGACTGCGCACTCCGCTCTGGCTAGCAAAGGCGATACCACAGTGCGGGCAAGTGAAGTGCTCATGGACCACACGGTCAACGTCTATCAGGTGAGCCTTTGCGGAGCCGATGCGTGCATCCCAAGCGCCCCGCTCAGTCTCAAAACTGGCTTTGACCAGGTCACGCCACTGCAGAAGACCTTCAGAAGACACTAGCTGCTCAAAATGCGAGGGGGGCTTGGCGTGCCTCTTCATGGCGGCGTTCGCCAGAACCACCATCGGATCTTCAAGGCCTAGCCGTGAAAAGAGGGCAGCGTTTGTCTCTTTGGTGAACATGCTGTGTGACCGAGGCATTCGCCTGACGTGTTTGACCACCAGCACGCGTATCATGTGAGCCGAGGCCTGGGTGACCCCTACACAATCAATTGCATGTTTGAGGCAGGTGAAGACACATGATTTCCAAAGCAGCACTCGACGACTGAGAGGTACCACCTTGCTGCGAAGGATGCCGTCAAGCCTGGCAAAGCTGCCTTTTGCTAGTTTGCACCTGTGCTCTGCAGTGAGATACTCAAACTTGCCGTACGAAAGCACTGCTCCCAAATACACATGCTGCGTCACCACTTTAATGTCAACGACCTCACCGTCAACAAGGAACCTGAAGCATTTGCCCTTCTTTGTCTTCACCATGTACTTCGCCAGGTGCTTCTGGACCTGTCGCCCCCGAAGTGCAATCAAGATGACGGTTTTGTCTGCACTGACAGAGAGACCAGCCTCCTTCAAGGCGCGTAGCACGAGCAGCATTCGTAGGTAGGCCTGATGCAAGGCGGCAGGAGATCTAATCAGCCATGCGAAGTGAAAATCGTCGGCATAGGTGGTGTTGGCCTCAGCCATCCACCCAGGCTGCTCCGCATCCATGTCCTTGAGCACCGCGCCCGTGTAGAGCGCCCATAGTAGCGGGGCCAACCGCAGCCTTGTCGAAGACCCCGACTGGTTCCAATATCTGCGCAGAGAGTGGCATGATGGATCTGCAGTCTGGCCTGAGCGTGAACCGCCACCACCACGTCTATCATGCTGCCATCCACCCCTGCCATGCGGAGTGCTCTGACTAGTTTATCTCTAGGTAGCATATCGTATGCTTTGGAAATGTCTAGCGAGAGCTGGCAGCCACCCCCAAGCTCCAGCCTGGTCTTGCCAGCATGTTTGTGGTGAATATTCATCGACTGAGACGCCAGGAGAGATCGGACCTCTGCACAGTGGGCTACAGTTCTGTCTAGCGCAGATTGTAGGGAGCGTCCAGCGACGTACGCGTATTGCGGAACATCGGCCAGGAAGGCCCCCACCTTGTCCTTCAGGCGTTGCGCCAGCATGTACGCCAGCATCTTCGAGCAAGGAGGTAGTAAGGAAATGGGGCGCAGGTCAGCAGCGGATCGAAGGGCCTTGCCGACCTTTGGCAGTAGCACGAGCTCAGAGCTGCTCCACGTGCGTGGCAAAGTCAGCCACTGCGTAGCAAATGCATGATTGTACCACTGCGTCAGTATGCTTTGCACTGCCGGCGCCGCTTGTCGCCATAGTACAGCTGGGGCACAGGCGCGAGGGACAACCTTTGCAGGGGCCAAGTGGCACAACGCGTCCTGGACTTCAGCCTCCGTCACCTGCAAAGGCGGGGAGGCGCACGCCGGCTCAACCTCCGTGCCAGTGTAGAGATCCTCAAAGTACTGTTTGATCTGCTCAAATTCCACCTCAATCAGCTGAACCTTGCCATCTGCATCACGAAGCTGCAGCTTTCTTCGGGGGGCTTTGGGCGCGAGGGACTTAGCAGCCTTGTGGATGTTGTTGGACGCCAGCACCATCTCCACCTTGAGTCGTTTCTTCTCCCTGCAGGCTTTTTTCAGCGTCTTCGTCACCTGCTGTATCCGCCCTACCAAGCGCCAGGCCCGCATCATTCCGGCCAGCGTTGAGCGCGTGGTTCCATCAGACCTAATAGCACGCAGAGCATCTCTCAGCCGCCACAAGGTTCGGACATTGTCCTGAAAATATTGGACACCCTGCTGAAGAGCTTCGCCAGCCATCTCTGACGTAGCCACTGACGCACGTGCCTCCCTTGGCGAGGGCACCTTCGGAGCAATGGTGACTGTTTCTCGGCAAGCGGCCCAGGCGTCCAGCAGTAAGGCATCCATGGTGTCCGGCGTCGCGCCCTCCATACGGGAAGCTACACAAGTTTGGAAAGCACTTTGAACGCGAGGGTCCTCAAGTTGCTGTCGAACTGCTGCATCTCTGCGAGGAGGGGCCTGTGTAGTTCTTGGCACACAAGGTCTCCTGATAGTGCAGGACACAGGTATGTGCCGGCAACCTGTGACAGGAACAAATGGAGCCACAAATGGGCGGGCACGCTTGGCGGTCATGTCCACGAGCGCATCCCTAGCCATGATGAAGTCAATCTGAGTTCCGTGCTGCTGGTCTCCAACCGCAGGTAGGAATGTTCTGGCAGCCAATCCGCCTCGAGACCAACTGTTCAGGACATGAAGACGATGTTGCACCACAAGGGCTTGGAGCGCATCCTGGTCCGTCTGGGCATACTTGGAGGAGGCCACACCCTGACCGACCAGCGGGGCGTCCGGCTTGACGGGTGTGTTGAAGTCTCCGACAACAAGACAGCCATTACGCGCAGGGACTGCTCGGAGCCACTTGCCTATGTGCTGCCAAATTTCCTGCCTTGCCTGTAGCAGGCCGCGAGTGCCCTCCACACCAGCGTGCGCAAACTTCTTAGGATTCCACGCCTGTTGATACACCAACAAGCAATCCAGCGGCGGCTCCGACTGAAGTCTGACCTGAAGAAGTCTGCCAGGCATGGGGGCCACGTAACGAACTCTCTCTGGTGAACAGCACTTGGTGGAGACGAGACACAGAATTCCAGTTTTTGACATGGCACAGCCGGAATGTATGGCATACCACTGGGGGTCCAGCTCATTCTCTTGGGCAGTCATGAACTCCGAATCCGACGTCCACGCTGTCTCCTGGAGGCAAGCCACGTCGACTGGCCTGCCAGCCCGGTGTTCCTCTTTCAGCCATAGAAGAAACTCTTGGTAGCGATGCGAGGGCAACCCACCGCAGTTCCAGGTGACTATGCGAAGGCGACCTCTGGGGCCTTGGTCTGCTTGCGAGATCTCCCTTGCTCCTGCGGAGGGGGAAGTCCTGGCGCCTGAATGCCCTGCACGAAGTTGTGCCAACGTCTTCCACCTCCCTCTGTAAAAGGTGCCGTTGTGCTCAGAGGACTGAGCACGCGTGATTGCACGCATCAAGGCGCGCTTGCGCGCGAAAATCGGCAATGGCGGCCGGTAGTTGTTGCGACCGTCACTCTGCTTTGCTGCGCTGGAAGAAGCCAGCATGGAGCTTGAGTGTGCAGCTCCAGAGCGCCCCGAGTGCGGACGCTCAACCCTCACTCCTGCGGCCTGGTGGCATAACATCAGAAACACAAGGACGAAAAGCCATGTAGATCTTGCGCACGTGCTTCTGGACTTCCGGCCGCCCTGGGACTTGGGACCCAGGGACTCCTTACGTTGAGTTGTCTGTGGGTGCTGCGCAAACGCAGGTACAACTGACAACGCTGCAAAGCCGTGTATACACAGCAGCCCTTTCCACAAGCAACGTATCATCAGGGACACGTACAGCCATGCATGAAAGGTGCGCCAGTGCCTGCGTCTGTGCCTGCGAAGAACTCTGCCATGGGGGGCACGGTTAAGCGAAGCAGGTCCGCCGATGACATCTCGCTGCCAAATGGGTCTGCCCTGTCGCAGACGGCGCTGGCTGCATCGACCGCTGTCTATAGGCATCATATCATGTACGGAGTGCCACCCAATGACATTCACAGAGGCATCCCGCTCTATTGCGTGTAGCCAGAAAGACGATGGGCGGAGTGTCAACACTGCTTCTGGGGTAGTCAGACTTAGCGTCCAATGAGGCAGTATCCAGACTTGAATAAGCAATCGAAGGTACATCATCATCGACGGCATCCATGGCATACGTGTCCAACGACAGGTTTGTTTAGTGCAGAGCCTGTTCTAGAGGAGCTCTAAGGTTGAAAGTCAGGCCTGCAGCCAGAACGCAAGGACACAGCACCACCAACAACAAATGAGCCAGGAGCTTAGTTGTCCTGTATTTTCGTAAACCTCCATGTCAGGTGCCTGAGTTGTCACGCGAAGGCACAGGCGTCAATGTACGCAAGGGAGATTGGAGGTCGTTACCTATACGACTCCTTCAGCACCTTATGAGAAATCAAAGTCTTTGGGTTCCGGGGGAGTATGGTCAAGGCTGAAACTTAAAGGAATTGACGGAAGGGCACCGCGGCACCACCAGGAGTGGAGCCTGCGGCTTAATTTGACTCCAATTCCGTCGCCTAAGCCCTGAATCTCAAGCACTGAGTGGCATTCATGCGACAGCAAAAAGGCTCTTGCCTTGCTGTTAACAGCAAATGGACAAACCAACCTATACTTGCAGGACACCCGAACCCCAATCCCAAATTCCAAACTCATCTCTACACGCCACCCCTACTTTGTCCATAACCTTTGGTCCAGGTACACCCGGCAGCTTCTTATAGCCTTGCGGCACTTGCACAAGCGGAAGCCTCTGAAGGGTGGACTGTTTTTTTAATGGCCCTCAGGGCTACGCAAGTGTTTCAGGCTCGGGGGATTTCGGGCAGGCTGGGAATGAGGGAGCTTCGGACTTCAAGGGACTCAGGACCTCTTGAAGCCGCCTAAAAAACCCTGACCACCTCAAACCCTAAAATCAAACCCTCAAAACCTAAAACCCTAAACCCTAAACCCTCAAAACTTAAAACCCTAAACCCTAAACCCTAAACCTTAAACCCTAAACCCTAAACCCTAAACCCTAAACCCTAGAGCCCCAAAACCTGAAATCTGGGATCCTAAACCCCCAGCCCAAGAACCCGAGCTCCAAGACCCTAACGCCCCAGCGCCCGAAATCCTAGTTGAGGAGTGTGGGGGTAAGGGCCTCAGGTTTTTTGTTTTTCAAAACAAAAGGGACACACACACGCACACACATACACACTTGTAAGAAAAAGCCCTAAACCCCAAACCCCAAACCCCAAACCCTACTGCTGATGCAAGCAAGGTGGTGATTCCTGCTACTATGAAGCTCCTGCTGCCGTTTCTAAGGTGCGGGATTATCCATGCCGACATCAAGCCTGACAACATACTCATCAGTGCAGGCCACAATGTCGTTCCAGCCTCAGCCTTCCGCAGCAGATGGGCCCTGCAGTCTAAGACCCCAACGCCCGAACCCCCTCGCCCCTTAAACCCTAAATCCCAACTCCCCTCGGCCCTGCGGCTACCCAGCCTGTTTTCTTACCATACTCCTTGCTAGGAGGTTGCGGGCGGTTTCCGAAGTATCACTGGCCGGCGCAACATGTAGGCGTGTGGGAGTTGATCTTCTTAGTTCTTGGGCGGAATCCCCAAACCCTACACCCCAAGCTACAACACCCTAAACCGAAAGTCCTAAGCCTGGAAGCGCGAAACCCATCAACCCTAAACCCCCCAAACTCCAAACCCAAACACAAAACCCCGAAACCCGAACCCTGAACCCCAAACCTAGACCTGCCCCACAGTTTCCGAGCATGGAATGAGGGAAGCAGGTACGTTGCAACCTCATTCCCTACTAAGGGCCAGCACGTAAAACAGTAAACCCCAAACCCTGGAGCCCCCAACACCCAAACACTAAACCCCAAACACTGACCACTAAACCGTGCAACCCTAAACCCTAAACCCTGCAACCCTAGACCCTAGACCCTAAACCTAGACCCTGCAACCCTAAACCCCAAACCCTAAACCCCTCAAACCCCTCAAACCCCTCAAGTCCATTATGATGGTCACCTCCTTCACTCCCCAGGTCAAGATCTGCGACCTTGGCAGTGCCATGGAGCTGACTGAGGCTTCAGCTTTAGGGTTTAGGGTTTAGGGTTTAGGGTTTAGGGTTTAGGGTTTAGGGTTTAGGGTTTAGGGTTTAGGGTTTAGGGCCTTAGTTTTTGTGCTTTAAGGTTGTGTTTTCAGGTAATTCGTTTAGGTTTAAAACTCGGACGTTTTGGATGTCTTTTTCGTCTTCAACTTGTTGTTGTTAAGCTTTGATTTAGGGTCTTTAGGCCGTTGCCACTAGGGTTTTGTGAGGGGCTTTGGTTTCTCTAAAGTTGTTGTTTTGGTTTTGACGGGTTTGAGGTTGTCGAATGTTTTCGGGTTTTGTACGGTTTCCGGCGTTTAGGTTGAGGGTTCATGGTTTTTGGTTTCGTGTTCCGGGGGAGGACTCAGGGTTTAGTGTTGAGGATGTAGGTTCTAAAAACCCTCAAACTTCGCCCTAAAGCCCGGTATACCCCCACAGCCCTGAACCTCCTGAGCCCGCAACTGGCCAGGTTGGGCCCCAAAACCCTAACGTTTAGGGTTTAGGGACCCTAAACCCTAAACCCTAAACCCTAAACCCTAAACCCTAAACCCTAAACCCTAAACCCTAAACCCTAAACCCTAAACCCTAAACCCTAAACCCTAAACCCTAAACCCTAAACCCTAAACCCTAAACCCTAAACCCTAAACCTAACCCTAAACCCTAAACCCTAAACCCTAAACCCTAAACCCTAAACCCTAAACCCTAAACCCTAACCCTAAACCCTAAGCCCTAAGCCCTAAACCCTAAACCCTAAACCCTAAACCCTAAACAGCTTAGGGTTGTGGGGAAGCTGCCAGGTCGAGCCCACCCCGTACCTTGTTAGCCGCTTCTACCGGGCGCCGGAGATTGTCCTGGCAGCCAAGCGACCTTGCCAAGTTTGGGTTCTGGGGTTTAGGGTTTAGGGGGGAGGGGGGGGGGGCTAGGGTTTGGGGGGGGGGGGGTGGCTAGGGTTTGGGGTTTGGGTTTTTGGGGTTTAGGTTTTAGGGGTTTAGGTTTAGGGTTTAGGGTTTAGGCTAGGGTTTGGGGGGGGGGGGGGGGGCTAGGGTTTGGGGTTTAGTGTCAAAAAAGTCCTCGGGGTGCTGCACTTTTGAGGGCCAGGGGGGGCGGGGGTTTGCAGGGCCCTGGGCCCTCAACACACCCCTTCCAGTTCTTGGTTCCTGAGAGTTTGGGCGTTTGGAGTTCAAGGTCTAATTTTATGGAGCAGGACAAATCCTAAAACCTTAAACCATAAACCCAAAACCCTAAAGCATCTGCTGGGGTGACGCATAGGCACCTCTGCAACAAGGATCAGGGCGATGTTCAAGCATGCTCATCGTTTCTTCCTAACCTCACGTCACTTCAATCCCCAACCCTAAACACCGCACACCCTGCACCCTGCTTCAGAAACCCCAAACCCTAAACCCCAAACCCCAAACCCCAAACCCCAAACCCCAAACCCCAAACCCTAAACCCTAAACCAGGTACTCCTTCCCCCTGGATGTCTTTGCCATGGGCTGCACCCTCTTCGAGCTCTTCACCGGCAAGATCCTCTTCCCTGGCAAGCCGCAGATCTCAGTCTCCTGCTTTCGCCCTAAACCCTAAACCCTAAACCCTAAACCCTAAACCCTAAACCCTAAACCCTAAACCCTAAACCCTAAACCCTAAACCCTAAACCCTAAACCCTAAACCCTAAACCCTAAACCCTAAACCCTAAACCCCAAACCCCAAACCCCAAACCCCAAACCCTAAACCCTAAACCCTAAACCCTAGACCCAGACCCTAAACCCTAAACAACAGCAGATATTCGCTTGCGGGAGCGAAATCGGTTGACAGACCCAAGACCCTCGACCCCCGACCTTGGGGCTTGGGGGGGCTCGCCTAAACCCTAGGAACGGTGTGACCACCCCTTTCGCCAAGGACCAACAACGACATGCTCAGGTTGTTCATGGAAGTGAAGGACTGTTTTGGCAGCTTCGGGGTCTAGGGTCTAGGGTCTAGGGTCTAGGGTTTAGGGTTTAGGGTTTAGGGTTTAGGGCTAGGCATGTTGAGAGCGCCCAAAATTCGAGGTCGTTTAGGGGTTGAGGGTGTAGGGGAGGGCTTAGGGCTGATAGTTGGGTTTTCAGGATTGGTTTGGGGTTTGGGTTAGAGGGCTTAATGACCCTCCAAGGCGTGTTGGGGCTGGGGGGTGGGAGGGTGGGGGGTGGGCGGTGTCTAAACCCTAAACCCTGAACCCTAAACCCTAAACCCTAAACCCTAAACCCTAAACCCTAAACCCTGAACCCTGAGCCCTAAAGCCCTAAAGCCCTTAGCACCAAAGCTGTGTCTGTCGTCTTCGATTTAGGGTTCAGGGCTTGGGGCGCAGGGGTTTCGGGTCTAGGGTCTAGGGTCGAGGGGTCAAGGGACTGAAGGAGTGAGCCCTGAAGGTGCCTCAGGGGTAATTCAGAGGCGAGGGCTACTTGGGTATATAGTCCCGGTTCTTTAGGGGAACAAGCTAAGGGTCCTTTCTAGGGGGTCCCTTCTACCCCTCAAGACGGGTGATTCGCAGGGCAAGTTGCCGAACAAGCTCATCAAGAGTGGCACCGTTTGGAAGACCCTCGTGCCGCATTCCCACTTCCGCAAGAAAGCTGTGGGTAAGCTAGGGCGACTAGGGGAAATTCTGGTTTAGGGTTTAGGGTTTAGGGTTTAGGGTTTTTTCAAGGGGGAAATAGGGGATTTCGGGGGACTCTCAGCTCTCAGTGCTGCGCCCAAAACCTCGTTGGCTGAAGTTTGGGCTTGTGCATTGGTGTTCCGGTTGGGTACGGCTTCGGTTGAGCTACCTGCAGTTTGCTCTAGGCAGTCTAGGACGTACAGTGGTACACTTCTACTCATCTTCTCTGGAGTTGGGATCCTTTTCACAGACTATGTAAGCTTTGATGAAGCCCTGAACCCTAAACCCGGATCCACCTCTTCGTCAAGGATGTTGGTTAACATACCATCGGGTGCATGAGGCCTTCCATCCCTTCACTATGGGTTTAGGGTTTAGGGTTTAGGGTTTAGGGTTAGGGTTTAGGGTTTAGGGTGTAGGGTTTATGGTTTAGGGTTTAGGGTTTAGGGTTTAAGGTTTAGGGAGATATTATGGGTTCCGGGGGCTTGGGGTTCAAAGGGTGCTTCTTTCAACTTTGCCCACCCATGGCTACCTTTGGGGCTGTTTTGGGCCTGCCTCTGGCTCCCACGTGCGAAATTTTCCCGCAGCCATCGCGGAGCTGCGCCCATAAGCCAGCCATGTGCTGTACAATCCCTAAACCCTGAACCCTAAACCCGAGGCCCTAAACTCTAAACCCTAAACCCGAAGCCCTGAAGTGTAAATTCTAAACATGAAGCCCCAAACCCTAAACCCTAAACCCTAAACCCTAAACCCTAAACCCTAAACCCTAAACCCTAAACCCTAAACCCTAAACCCTAAACCCTAAACCCTAAACCCTAAACCCCAAACCCTAAACCCTAAACCCTAAACCCCTTGAACCCTAAACCCTAAGCCCGAAGCTCTGAACCCTTGTAGGGGTGTCTGGAGAGTGTAGAGTGCTGCGTGACGAGGAACCACTTCGATGACAATATGGACTTCAAGTACTTCGACGTGAACAAGGCTGTCATTCGCAGCCCCAGACGTTCCCACAGGGTTTATCGGATTTATGGGGCCAAAAGGGTTTATACGGTCTGGAGGACTTTGTACTATTCCCTGCACGCCAGAGACCACCCCACGGTGGTAGTATTTGCTCTCCCCCCGTTTCTTTTCCCGTTAACCCTAAACGCTAACCAAAAAGTCCAAAACCCAAACCCTATTTGGGGTAGAGGGTGTTCCCATATATATATATATATATATATAGATAGATAGATAGATATATATATATATATATATACACGGGCAGCCTTTTTGGATTCCTAGGTTTCAGGAACTCGGGTATCCCAACTGCCATGCAGGCCACGCGGAAGAAGATCACCCGCACCATCACCGACCTGTCCGCGAAGCGGAGCGTGCATGAAATGGCTCGGGGGCCCCGGCAGGGTTGCAAGGGTGTTGAGTGCAGCTTGGGCTCGTTCAGGCTCTGGAACCTCATCCGTAAACCCTAAACCCTACACCCTAAGCCCTAAACCCTAGACTCCCCTACATGTAGGCCCCAAGCCACGCCCGTGCGGCGGCTCGGGCCCAACAGCCTCGCTACCAAAGGTACAAGTCTTCGTTATCTTGGTTTAGGGTGTAGGGTTTCGGGATTAGGGTTTAGGGTTTCGTGTTTCGGGTGTAGGGTTTAGGGTTTCGGGTTTTGGGTTTAGGGGTTTGGGCGGGGGAGACTGTTGTAGAACGAGCCCTTATGTTCAAGGTACCCCCAAAAGGTGACCATACTTCAGCGAAATAACACCTAAACCCTAAGCCCTAAGCCCTAAACCCATATAACGGAGACCTATACATCAAGTTTTAGAGTTTAGGATGTTTATGAGTTAAGAGGTTGAGGCGTCCGGTCTTGGCATGAGCTTTCGGCTTGCGGATGTGCCGACATACCTCTGTAACTATGCCTAGGGCTTAGGGTTTAGGGTTTAGGGTTTAGGGTTTAAGGTTTAGGGCCATACGCTCGTGTAAAACAGTTGTAAAGCCCGGGTCATCGCCCCTACACCCTACACCCACATAGCAGACCATTGGGGGAACCCTAAATCCTTAAACCCTGAAACCCTCAAATCCTCAAACCCTCGAACCCGAAATCCTACGTAAACCCGAAATCCTCAACCCTTCAATCCCTCAATCCTGAGGTTTTAGGGTCCTTAAGGAGGGGGGTTCATCGGGGGTAGGTACCTAGGGAATTTTCGTGAAGATTAGGGAGCCTTAGGGAGTAGTGGGGAGCTTGGGGGACCGTGGGCCCCAAACCCCAAACCCCAAACCCCAAACCCCAAACCCCAAACCCCAAACCCCAAACCCCAAACCCCAAACCCCAAACCCCAAACCCCCAACCCCAAACCCCAAACCCCACACCCCAAACCCCAAACCCCAAACCCCAAACCCCAAACCCCAAACCCCAAACCCCAAACCCCAAACCCCAAACCCCAAACCCTAAACCCTAAACCCTAAACCCTAAACCCTAAACCCTAAATCCTAAACCTCCTGAATCTTGGCTCAGAGCTAAGAGGCTGCATCGCTCTCTTTGGAATGCTCTATGAACCTGTGGATTGTTGAGGTTTAGGGCTCAGGGGTTTGAGGGTTGGGTTTAGGGTTTAGGGTTTAGGGTTTAGGGTTTAGGGTTTAGGGTTTAGGGTTTAGGGTTTAGGGTTTAGGGTTTAGGGTTTAGGGTTTAGGGTTTAAAAGTTTAGGGTTTAAACGTTTAGGGTTTAGGGCTAGGGTTAGGGGTCTTTCGACTTTCCACCCCAACGCCCAGGCTCAGTTCTAAGAACCCTAACGCCCTGAAAGCAGCAACCGCCCCAAAATTCCCAAATCCGGATGTGGAGTTTAGGGCTTTCGATTTGAGGGTGCAGTAGCTCACGCTCCGGTAGCCCCGGACCTGAACGCAATGCCGTTGGTCGAGAAATCGTCCCTGGGACCTCGTGAAACCAGGCGTCGGGCCCGTTTTTTTTTTTTTTTTGCTTTTTTCGTAGGGGCTTTGGGGTTTGGAGTTTTGGGCCGAGGGTTTAGGGTTTAGGGGCGAGGGTTGAGGGCTTAGGGTGTTCCAAAGTGCTGCCCTAAGGGTAGTCACTACGTGGGCCCTGAATATGGTTCTCTTACCTCCCGAAAAGGTTCTGACGTAGTCGGCCCGTGGAGAGTTTAGGGTTTGGGGTTTAGGGTTTTAGGGTTCCGGGATGTTGGACTTTTGGGCTAGCCTGTCTCGCCACTTTCCCCGGTTTAGGTCCCCTGAACGACCTCAACTGTGAACAAAGATGGCATGGGGTTTCGGGTTGAGGTTGCCGGCCTTAGTTCGGGTGAATCCTACATCCTAAACCCAAAACCCCAAACTCTAAACCCTAAACCCTAAACCCTAAACCCTGAACCCTGAAACCCGGAAGCCCTCAAACCCTGAGCTGCAAGGACGATGAGTCTCCCGACCATTGCAGAAGATGAGGACCGGGTGGAGAACTCGCAAGGCTCGCTGCGAGGGAGGCGTTGAGGGTTTCGAGTTTGGGCGTCAGATCGAACCACTTGGTGCAAGGTTCAAGGGATCATAATAGTAAGGGGATACCTAGGAGGGACCCTGGGTCATCAGCATGTATATGTACATACATCTCTCTCTCTCTCGCGCGCAAGCGGGTCCCGCTCTGTTACCCTAAACCCTAAACCCTGAACCCTGAACCCTAAACCTTAAACCCTAAACCATAAACCCTAAACCCAAAACCCTAGACCCTAAACAATAAACCCTAAACCCCAAACCCTAAACCCTAAACCCAAACCCTAAGCCCCTAAGTCGCGCAAATCCCTCTCCTTTAAGCCACCTCTTCAAAGGTGCAGTCCACTCTGAGGAGGAGGATCCGCAGAGTAGTGAATCAGGCCGGCGGCCTCGCATGTTCCCCCAAACCTTGACATGTAGGGTTTAGGGTTTAGGGTTTAGGGTTTAGGGGGGCAATCCTAAATTCTTTAAAACCCCCCAAAACCCTCAAAACCCTACTACCCTCAAGACCTTAAAACGAAACAAACCACGGCCAACAACCTGGCTTTGCTTTGAATTCATGCTCGCTGAAGTCGAGCCCCTTCTTGGTTTAGGGTTTAGGGTTTGGGGTTTAGGGCTTAGGGTTCCAGGGGTCTCGGTTCCGACCGATTAATTATGGGATCCTATAGAATGAGGGTTTGCCACAGATTCTGGCTCTAAGTTTCAAGGCTTTCGTTCGCTAGGGGCTTGTTTTGCACGTGCTGGCTGCTAGCCACCCCTACCACAAGTGAGGCCCAACAGAATATGTACTTGAGCCAGTCTTTCAGGGGTAAGTTGTTAGGCTTACAGTTCTGGGGAATGGAATTCTGGAGAGTGTCGTGCCCCGCCGAGCACTGGGAATTGAGGGGGCATATTCCTTGTTTCGCTGTGTCGTAGGCAGCATGGTTGGGGGTTCAGGGTTCCGGGCGTATGGTTTGGGAGGAAGTATCATGGACGCGTCGGTGTCATTAAAGCCATAAACCCCGCAATCCCCGACGCCCGAAAGCCTTAAACCTCAAGCCCAAAGCCCGTAGAACCCCACACCGCAGAACCTCTACCCCGGCTTTGCTCCTAACACCAAACCCCTAACCCTAAACCCTAAACCCGAAACCCTAGACCCTAAACCCTAAACCCTAAATTAAACCTAATTAAACCCTAAGCCCTAAACCCAAAACCCAAACCCCTAACCCTTCTGAAGCCCAACCCCACAACCTCCAAGACCCTACGCCCCCAAGCTCTGCAAAATCCAACCCTCAAGTCACTACATCCACCCCTACACCCTAAACCCTAGACCCTAAACCCTTATCCCTAAACCCTAAACCCTAAACCCTAAACCCTAAACCCTAAACCCTAAACCCTAAACCCCAAACCCTAAACCCTAAACCCTAAACCCTAAGTCATGAGGAGAGGCGTGGCGCCACAAGGAGACCACAGTGCGGACGTCCAAAAGCAAGGTCATGCAGGTGGCAGGCGCTGAGACGCGCCTGCCCTCGCGAGGCCAGGGTTTAGGGTTTAGGGTTTAGGGTTTAAGGTTTAAGGTTTAGGGTTTAGGGTTTGCTGCAATAGGGCGTAGATACTGTGTAGGTTAGGATGCAGCAGAGGCTCGAATGCCTCGTCAGGTGCGAAGAGCAGCTCTGGCCCGATTGTGGAGGGGCGTCGAATACTTTTCTCCCACCCCACGCCGTCCGAAGCGGCAAAACCACCCAAACCTATTCCTTTTAGGGTTTAGGCCCAAACTCATGACAATAGCTTACTTTCAAAACACCTTGCCACTTTCAGCCGAGGGAAAGGGTTTGAGGCCAGGTCCGTGCTCGTTTGTAGCACGGGTTGCAGCTGCATCGAAAAGGAAAGGTTTTAGAGGGTTGGAGGCAGGGCCAGGCCAGGGGGCCAGGGGGTCAGGGGGGCCAGGGGGGGCCAGGGGGCCAGGCCAGGTTAGGGGGCGGTGAAGGGTGGGCTTTGCGGGTACTCCCCCCGAAAAGGTCAGCGACGCCCAGGGCCATGACCGGAAAGTTTAGGGGAAGTACTTGAATATAAGGGACCAGTACTGGTCCCGAGGAGAACGTGTTCCGGACCGGGCCCATCGTGGGCGCTACCGACCCCCATGCTGTGAGAGGCGGGCAAGCGATCTGGGTCGGCTTGCGCCATCGAGGTCGAAGGGCTTAAGCGCCGCCCCAACGTAGGGGGGCGGCCTAGGCCCTGAGTTTAGGGTTTAGGGTTTAGAGTTTCGGGGTTTTGGGGGGGATGAGGGGCTGAAGGGCCCTTGGGGGTTTACGATTTCGGTTCAAGGGCCCGAGTGTGTTGGATCTGAGGGCCAGGAGCCCGGTAACTCGCCCTATGCCCCCAGAATCCCAAACCCTCAGCTCTGCAATCAAGGCCCCATGCCAAACCCTAAGCCAACAATCCTGAACCCCGAATTAACATGGGAGTCAGGATTCCCATGGTGTTTACAGGGTTGAGGGCTTTGAGGGCTTTGGATTAAGCCCCTAAGTATAAATAGGGTTTGCCATACGTCCTTCGTGTGATCATGGTTAAGAGCGTCAGCGTTGACCCACAGGCGTGTTTCTCAAACTGTGCCCTTTAAGGCTTAACTTAACCCTAAACCCTAAACCCGAAACCCTAAACCCTAAACCCTAAAACCCAAACCCTAGACCCAAAACCCTAAACCTTGAACCCCAGCGTAGACCAGTGGCGTTCGCTGCCACGTGCGGTTGCTTTCGTTTGGGTGTGTCTTCGTACATACACCTCGCATCCCCCAGTGTTTACGCTCTTCAAAGTAGGAGTTCCTTTTTGCCGAAACCCTAATTAAACCGTAACCCTAAACCCTAAACCCTAAACCCTAAACCCTAAACCCTAAACCCTAAACCCTAAACCCTAAACCCTAAACCCTAAACCCTAAACCCCAAACCCTAAACCCTAACCCTAAACCCTAAACCCAAACCCTAAACCCTAAACCCCAAACCCTAAACCCTAAACCCTAAACCCTAAACCCCAAACCCTAAACCCTAAACCCTAAACCCTAAACCCTAAACCCCAAACCCTAAACCCTAAACCCTAAACCCTAAACCCCAAACCAAAACCTCGCAACCTTTTGTTCGCACCTGCGCCAGGCAGCCTCAAGCATCCTATTGGCTGTGCTCCCTGTGCACCTTTGTCCGCAGAGGGTTTTGAGGGTTGAAGGGCTTTAAGGGCTTTCAGGGTTAAGGGTTGGAAGAGCTTAAGGGCTTAGGGATGTTAAAGGGTTTTAAGGGTTGAAGAGTTTAGAAATCGTGTTTAGGGTTTAGGGGTTTAGGGGTTTAGGGGTTTAAGGGTTCAAGGGCTTTGGAGGAGTTTAAGGATCTTGGGTCAGCTGAGCTGGATTGAGTTTACTTAAGCTCCTCATGTTGTTTGAGGCTTTAGAGTTTACATGACTTTGGGGGGTTGTTCGATTTTAGCTCGGGTGTACTCTTCGACTGGCTATACTACCCATACTGCAGAGAATCGCGCGGCGCAACCCTGGAGAGCCCTGGAGTTCCAGCTGCGGTGTTTGTTTGTGCGTGTGTGTCCGATTCAAGTTTGAAGATGCTGCTGCTAGTTTGGCTGTTCAAAGCACCCCCCCGTGCTGCAAATGAGATATGTGCACGTTCTCATGTCCAATGCCATAGTATACCAAGTTTGCAGGGTAGGAAACCGCGCCTTGCAAAAGTAGCTACTTGGAGGTTCATGGTACTTATTAATTAACCAATTCTAACTGTACATCTAACTGTACTTACAACCATATTCGGGCACTTCAGGGGCTTATAAGTGGGTTACAAGTACAGTTATAGTTTGTTGATAAGTACCATGAACCTCCAAGTAGGGGCCTCAACTCATGAGAGTTGCAGGGGGGTGGTCTTGGGGTAGGCAGGTCTGCAGACGAATGCGCTCACAAAGCGCGCTTCCAACCGAGTGGCACGCCGTAAGCCCCATGCCCCAGACCCGAAACCCGAAACCCGAAACCCGAAACCCGAAACCCGAAACCCCAAACCCCAAACCCCAAACCCCAAACCCCAAACCCTAAACCCTAAACTCTAAACTCTAAACCCTAGCCTATACCCATCCAAAGCACTACAGCCTCGAAGCCAAAAGCCCATGGAGGGCAACACTCTGCCTTCAAAAGCCACGAAGCCCTAAACCCTAAACCCTAAACCCTAAACCCTAAACCCTAAACCCTAAACCCTAAACTCAAAACCCAAAACCCAAAACCCAAAACCCAAAACCCAAAACCCAAAACCCTAAACCCTAAACCCTAAACCCTAAACCCCAAACCCCAAACCCCAAACCCCAAACCCCAAACCCTAAACCCTAAACCCTAAACCCTAAACCCTAAACCCCAAACCCTAAACCCTAAACCCTCAACCCTAAACCCTAAACCCTAAACCCTGAACCCTAATGTTGTATCCTGATTAGTGTGATCCCTTTTAAATTCATATAAGCTCATCCCGTTTAAGATCCTTTGGACCCCTTTGAAATTCATATAAACTCATCCCTTCTAAAATCATCTAAAGCCAGACTCCCCCCCCCCCCCCTTAAGACGGGGATCCGGCAATCCTTGTGTTAGGGTTGGGGGGAGCCACACTAATCAGCAGACCACACTAACCCTGAACTTTAGACCTTAGACCCTAAGCCCCCCCCCCCCCCCCCCCCCCCCCCGAAAGCCCCGAACTCCCTAGACTCGTCAACCCGACCCTAAACCCTAAACCCTAAACCCTAAACCCTAAACCCTAAACCCTAAACCGTAAACCCTAAACCCTAAACCCTAAACCCTAAACCCTAAACCCTAAACCCTAAACCCTAAACCCTAAACCCTAAACCCTAAACCCGAAACCCGAAGCCCTATGGGATGGTCGGCATCTTGGAATCCTCAAAACTACTATTTGCTTAAGAACCCCAAAAGAAAAACAAAACACAACCCTATATTACCCTTAATAAGGACTGTTTTTTTATCTTAAATTCTTTTTTTCATTTTTGGGGTTCTTAAGCAATTAGTAGAAAGTTTTCCAGCCCTCCGAAGCTTGAGTTACTAAGGCCTCGAGCCTTTCTGTGCCTCGATTTGGGATGCTTAAGGGTTTAGTTGCCGCGAAAGGTTCAGGCCGGCGCTGTAGTCAAGGGGTGCGAGAAACACAGGGAAAGTTCAGTCGGGTTTCTTTGGCCACCCTTAAACCCAGACCTTAGCCTGAAACCTGAGCCCTACACCCGAAGACGAAGATCCCATGGACCCTCAGCCCCCCAGTTTATAGTAGGGAATGAGGGAGCCACGGTTTAGGGTTTAGGGTTTGTAAGCCCTAAACCCTCAACCTGAAACCCTAAATTAAACCCTAAACCCTAAACCCTAAACCCTAAACCCTAAACCCTAAACCCTAAACCCTAAACCCTAAACCCTAAACCCTAAACCCTAAACCCTCAACCTGAAACCCTAAACCCTAAGCCCTAAACCCTAAACCCTGTAAACCCAGGTCTTTGTGGCTCTGAAATCCTCGGGCAACAAGACATCGGCGTCATGCAGCGCCGGAGATCGATGAAGCTCGGCCTGCGCTTTTCCTTAGGTCTTTCGACGCAAGTGTCTCCCGGGTTGCCGGCGGTTTCGGGTTCAGGGTTCAGCGTTTAGGGTTCAGGGTTTAGGGTTTAGGGTTTAGGGCTTAGGGCTTAGGGTTTAGGGTTTAGGGTTTAGGGTTTAGGGTGCGCCCTAACCCCTAACATTCTTCAGTGGTTGGGTGCGTGCGGTCTGCAAAAGTAATCTCCAGATGCGGGGTTAATACACAAGCACATCCAGACTTTCCAAGAAACAAGCAACAATGTCCACACGGACGGAATCATGCCCGAAGGATTTGGCGGAGTTTTTGAACAAAACTAAACGGACAGCCACGACTTCTTGGATCTTTTGTGGTAGTGGCAGATGGAGATGAGCGATCAAGATGAGAGGGAGATGCAAGACATGGATGAAAGGGAGGTAGGAAGATGACAGAGGGAGACCATACAAGAAAAAGATAGACGAGAAATGGAGGGGAAATACGCGCGATAGGAAAGGCTACATCAGCCAGGAGACAAGCGACGCAGAGAGAGAGAGAGAGAGAGGGGGAGAGAGGGAGAGCGAGAGAAGAAAATATGCGCTGCAAGCAAGAAAGCAAGCAAGCAAGCAAGAAAGCCAGCAAGCAAGGAAGCAAGCAAGCAATCAAACAATAACAAACAACAACAGGGCAGATGCAACAACAGGGCAACAGGGCAGATACAAGAGAGATAGATCACAGCTGGAGATGAGCGACAAAGCAGAGACAACAGAGGAAGATGGCAGAGGGGGACAATCAGAGAAGAGATGAGAGAAGCAGGATAGTTTAGCTTTGAATTGGGGGGGGGGGGGGGAAACAGAGGAAATCAAATCGCGAAGCCATAGTTAATCAGAGGCGATTCAACATCCAATTCAACTTACTTACTAGAATCAGGGGCCCTAAGCCCTGAACCTTAAACCTCAACCCCAAACCCCACACCTCAAACCCTCAACCCTAAACCCAACATGCGCTTCAAGGTGAATATTGTCATTTCCCGCATCCCATGACGAAGAAGGACGTCCTCAAAAAGTTCCGCCACGCGTTGAAGGGCTAGAGAGGCTTGTCCGAACTGGAACCTCTTGGGCTTAGAGGGGTTTTCCCGCAAACTCTGAACCCTAAGTTTCAACCCTTAAGCCCTATACCCTACACCCTGGACCTTGAACCCCAAACCCGAAACAAGCCCTAAACACTAAGTTCTGATTTTTATACAGTAAACCTTAAGATCACATATCTAGACCAGGGTCGCATTGTCATGCTCGGTCCTACACTGGGTATACGTCAAGCAGTATGGTCTCAATTTTGTGGTAGCCAAGTTCCTTGGCAGCAACTTAGTTGTGGTGTCAGAAGGCTTCGGGGCTTTCTCGGGAGGGCTTTG